CTTAAACGATTCCAAATCGGATCCTGCCTAACCTCTCAAATTTTGAACCCATTTGGTGAGAAACTGAGATGGCACAAACCATTTGAAGTTTGTATGGGAATTACTATAGTAAAACCAAGATTTTTGTTCATGTCTATCCAATAATTCACCATATTAGTCTGCTTCAAAAGCTTTCAATTTTCCCTGCTACAACTTTGCTTAAGACCGCTTTTTGATTAAATGCAAGGATCGAAAGTTATCAATGGTTCAATGCGCTGATGTCTTATGATCATGCTCAGGCATTGGTGTTTCTAGGGCGTTGAATACGACACAAAAATCATGGCTACTATATCACACTGCAAAATACAGAGTTGCCTACAGAGCAGCTGCTTGATCATGTCATGTCATGTCTTAAATAATTAATACCTTTTTCCTGTCTCGTTTTACATAGAAACGATCTTGAGCAAAGTTGTAGCTGTGAAAATTTTCTATAAGAATGGCTATCGAACTGTTTCGCCGCTCAATATGGAAAAAGACTAGAAGGAAATGAACAAAAAATTGAGTTTTCATAGTAATTTACATGTAAACTTCATACCCTATTTTCATTGCGGAATACCTGTTTTTTATCCATATTAATGTATTTTCATTATTACGTATTTTAATGTTCTGATATATTTCATTTCTCCATTACATATGTTCACTATATATATATATAAATAAATACTGGGTTGGGAGGGAGCATCAGGGTATCATTTGACCTGGAACTGGACGATTGGAGTGGTATGACAACCGGAGTCTAGGAGGGAATAAACACTATCATTTTCTTTATCCTACCGATTCGATTGTGATGGTGTGAATTCTACTCCAACAGTTTCATGGAGATTGACGCGCCCTTCTTAACAAACCATCCTGTAGGAAGCTTAATAAGTATTGCGAATTGCGTTATTCGATTTGTTGGATCGTATCGTTGGAAGGAGATTCTTAAATTCTCGTGGATTTCGCGTAAGTGCCTCTGCTTACGGGTCCACCCCACCGTTTTTGGCCCTTCATACAGCGATATTGTGAATTCAGATCGGTAGCTCAAATTGATCTTGCTATTAAGTGGAGCTGCATACAAGACAAGATCTTCGAAGGGATGGTGGCTACCTTACATACATACATACATTTACATGTAAACTTCATACCCCGTTCACATTACAGCGCATATCACGTGATATAGGCTGTCTTGCAATGAGCACTTATACATCTAGTTTTCACTGGAAATCCTATGTATGAGTGCTCATTGCAAGACAGCCTTTATTACGTGATATAGGCTGTAATGTGAATGGGGTATCAAATGGCTTGTGCGAAGTCGGTTTCTAACCAAATGAGTTGTACCTTTGGGAGACTAATCAGGACCCGATTTGAAACCATTTAAGCACTGTGGAGTGAAAAAGTCAAGTTTTGCATCAGTCTAGTGGACATTGATTAGACCTCCCCTCCCCCCCCCCCCACCAAGATGTTCAAGTGGTATGTGGATGGCTCCACATGAGACCTCACAAAGAAGTTCATTACTGACCATACCAAGTGCTCAGGACCCCATTGTTCACATCCAGCCATGTTCCGGGTACTCCCGGGGAAGCAGCCAGTTCCTGACTGAGACAGAAACCATAATGCGATTTTATAGGTCATCCCAACAAACAATTCAAAGTCACAAGCATACATATTGAATAAATGCTGTATAATAGTGTACAATGCTGAATAAAACAGGATGTTTAATTATGTGCTGTAAAAAGCTCATTGAGATCGATAGATGCGCCTTTATTCCGCTGTTTGCTCTGATATTATTAATTTACTTATTAAAAGCTTTATAAACGTTGACTGTTTTCCTGATTCAGAACCAGAAGTTTGATCTAATAACAAACTGAATAAGTGTAATTTTCACATATATTGACGCTTTAATTCGACTGTTTTCAATTGATTTAATAAAATGCTTTATTAGACGTCTTATATATGTTTTCTAGCTCCATTATTAGATTTCATTGCACTGCTTTACAATATTGCTGTATAAAGGTGAATACAGTCAGCAAAATAGCTCTTATAACACTATGCGTCCATGTTGTAATTGCATGCCTTGTAAATGCTTTATAAACGACGTATTAGATTCATTATTCCACGACACTGATTCAGTCTTTTTTTTTTCCTCTGTTCGGGACCTAACACTACTGCGACCAGTAAATTGATCTATTTTAGTATATCCCGTGTCCTTAGTTTAGTGCATGTCGTATTACTCCATCAATATTGAGAAATGATGAAGTTGCTACTCTTGCATTTATCGCAAGGATCCGACTCTAATTGAAAGGTCCCGCTATTTATACCCTTCGGAGTGTTGAAACACCCTCCAAAGGCGCGCCCCTTTGTCAGTCAAAATTGGATTCCTTAGTAACAAAATCTAGCAATAACACCGATAATGACAATGCATCAGAACCCTAGTCTTAACCACTTCAAACTAGAGAACAACGAATAGAAGATTAGGAATCACATAGATGAAGACTAACTAATTTTTTTCTTGTTTCAACATCATCCTCGGTAGACAAAGCCGAGTCTTGTCACTATCAACAAGGCATAAGTATATAAAGTAAGATGTGTTCCTTGGATTACTGAAAAATCCTGTTCCCGTAGTTTGAAGTATTCAGGACTAGGAATCGGTGGTAGATCTTACATCCCGTAACGTACCACGAAAAGGTGATCTACCCACGTTATGGGGCTGGTTCAGTCTTACAACAAGACAAAATCCGTAGAATAGTGGTTACCGTTTCCGCTTTCCAAGTAGAAGGTCGTGAGTTCAATCCCTAGCGCAATCCTTTTTTATTTGTGTTCTAAATCGTGATCATCGATCCCATCACTCACGGTAACAAATTCATTGATTAAGTTTAATAAATAACCCAGCATCCTTTCCTTGGAAATTGGAGAGGTGAAGAGGTAGAATTGGTCTCATGTAAAACAACGATGAATGAATTAATGATTCCGACTGGACCTTGGGACGATCTGCTGATAGGTATTCAGTTTCAAGCAAGCGTTTATTGAATATTGATCAGCCCATATGGTGTATACTAGGATAGCTCAGATGGCAAGGCAAGCGGCTGGTAATCGGAAGGTATATGGTTCGAATCCCAAGCAACGGACATGTGATGAAATTTCTAATATCTGTATGGTGCCGTGCTTCGTCAAAAATAATGAAAACAGTCACTTAAGAAAATAGCTGTCTCTCTAATCTGCCCTCTTTCTACCGTTCTTTATTTTCCCTCTTCTACCGTTCTTAATTTTGCTGCAGTTGAATAATCGTTTAATAAATGTATAATAGTGTATAACTTAAACGTTACTTCACATGATAATCAAGCGTATACATCATCGCAAAGATGTCCAATACACGCTGAATAATAAAACATTTGATCGAATAAGCTCTGTTACAACTCATGGAAGTCAAATAAAAGCTTCTCGACTACCTTCACCGACGACACCATGTTGTGGTTGAATAAATTCTCCAGATTTGTGTGAACAAAGCCTGAACAGAAGTTATTTTTTTAAATTGTACAAGTATTATTAAGCATGCAGTTGAATAAAATCGTCGCGAAGTCGTTTCTTCAATAGAGGCGATTGTTTGTTGGGATGTTATGTTTTATGTTACATCAGAATTAAATTACAAAATCCTGGTTGAAATGGGACATATAGAGCGTCCCAGATATGGTAATATCCGGATCAACCACTGAGGGATAGCCGGTGCTGGTGGTATAGTAGTAAGCGTGACTGCTTTCTCACCCCAATGGGACTGGGTTCAATCCCAGCCGAGGTCGGTGGGATTTTTCTGAGGCATAAAAATCTCTGGTCACGTCTTCCTTCGGAAGGGAAGTAAAGCCGTTGGTCTCGGCACATATGTGTTGAATGGGTGCGATATCCTACGCAGGTGTGGAAGCTGCCATTGCACATTCGATATACGTCAATGGATGACAATCAATGGCATATTAGATTGCGGAACAGAGACCGACGTTAGATAAAGGAAAGAAAAGAAAAAAACACGGTGGGAGTAGCCAATTTCAAACTAGAAGCCAACACACATCATGGGACGCATAACATTATTAAAGAAATGCAATACAAGCTAATTGCTGGTCACATTAAGAACCCAGGACCACATTGGACAACAGCTGGACATGTTCCGGATACCACCAGAGATGTGGCACAAAATTTAATTAAGTAAGAAGGGTCTTACCATAGGGTGGATAAATTTATTTTAGGTCACCCGTGACATTTCCGGTGATGAGATTTGAACTAGTGAGTAGTGACCATTAGCATGAGAGGCATGGATGCTGACCACATGGATGCTACGCTAATTAATAGTAATTCCATTTCCACTAAATTTGCTCCTTAATTGATTTAAATTGTATTACTTAATCACTTCAAATAATGCTGAACTTTACAATTGTAGGCCCACAGGATCCCGACCTGTTGAACACGTTAAGCAACCCGTCGCAAAGTATACCATACTGGGTAAACGCGTTCGATTTTCATATCATGCTTTCGCCTTTTTTTTCGGGTTTAATATACAAACACAATACAAAAAGGATCAACCAAGCAGCCTAACAGATGAACGTTTTTGTTTCTATTTTTTGAAAAATGAGAGACTACTTTGATCACTTTTAAATTACACAGCAAAAAAATAATTTGATATCACATCAAAGTGGACATGCACTTCAATCGTGTCGAAAATATGGTATAATATTACTTGCCAAAAAGCACAAAATTATCATTAATACAGTGCATGAACTGACATTACACTGCTTTTACTGCATTTGTTTACTTTTGTGGCCATAAAAATTACATGAGATTATCGACATGATTGTTGTAATATTAAAATTTATTTTTTGCTGGGTATTTATAAGTTGCTCAAATTTACACAAAAATAATAATCTGTATTCGAATCTGAATTGACTTATAGACAATTTACTATGTTTTGATGTCAGTTGAAGAAGTGTTTTTAACCTTACCTTCTCCACAGGTTAGTGAATCTCACCAGGACACAATTTGCGAATAGTTATATTGATTTTCTCCACGTTGTGCAGCTCTCAGCAACTACATAACTTCACAACTTTACCAAACTAATCAAAACTTTCAATATTTAACGGCAATTGACTTCCAAGCATTGCGTAAAGTACGCTTTAGATTCTCGTCGAGAAAAATGTAGCATTATGATCTCATTGTTTCGTAGCCTTTGATGTTCATCAAAATCTGCTGGCTTTCACTAAAAGGAATCTTTTTACACCACTCGTTTTGAACAACGTTACACCGTTCGTTTCCCATCGAATTAATACCACTACTCACTCGTGAATCTAGGTATAGACAATTCGTGAATATTTATTTCAATTCAATGAATTCAAAAATTGAAATTCCGCTTTTATTTGCTGAGTGCTACTGTTCTGTTGTACAGGCAACGTGTATCATATATTTGGAAATATTGAGCCTCATGGACATTTCAAAAATGAAACGTGGGTCTGTAAATCGTTCAAAATCAGTTATTTTATTTTGAACCTCTCAACATGCAATCAGCAATTAACGATATTAATGTTCTTGGTTTGTATTTCTATTCGTTTGAAATTCACTTCACATTCTCACATTCTACGAATTTATCAGGTGCACCTTTTGACCCGACCGTACCGATTACGCACTCGAGACTGACTGACTGACTTGATTGGACCTGATAGTTGACCAGCCGGTAGGATATTATTCTGAACTACATACAGAAGAGCTGCAGACACGGATACAACAATAGTAGCAGTAGGTATTTATAACCGACGAACTATTACACGAAGTACTACGGCAATGCTATTGCATTCGGAAAAGCTCTATTTCTCTTCCGTGTAAAAGGATAGTAGAAGTGATAAAAACTGATGGTCGGTAAAGCCGAAACCTATATAGGGGAAATGGATGTAATGTCGGCCTAAATGCCCCTAATTTGGGCCCATACATAAATTCAGCAATCGACTAAATTTTCAATAGCGACCAAAAATAACCATTAGTACCGTCCTAATGACGCGTTCATCTAGATAAAATTGATAAATAGCAGATTTTTAGCGATGGGCCCAATCTTAGATCTATGGGCCAACATTAGAGCCATTTTCCCTTTATTTATATTTTCATGCAAATCAAAGACTAATTTCAACTAGTTGCATTGTTTATTAAATACCTAAGCATATCAGTGTGTGGGAAAAATGCACAGAGGATGCTTCATGTTAGATATTTCGTGATCAACATTTCAAAATGGCGAAACTGCTTTTGCAAACAATGACTGAAGCCGTCGATTTCTCGAAATAAAAAGTCCATGTATGCAAACTAGCAACATGTTCGTCTACCAGCATTGTTTACAAAAGCAGTTTTGCCATAATGAAATGTAGGTATCGATTTGTTGTTTGTAATCATGTCAGTCACTCCTCAACATCTACTGACCACCAGTTTCACCAAAATGAAGCTCCCTAATGTATGTACCTACTATCATCCATAAAGAGGCAAATAGATAAAGCATCAAACATGTCAACGTTAACTATCGTTTACTGCAAAGGAATATGTAGTTATGCAAATTTGGGCAATTATGCCATGCTTGTGGTTTCTTGGAAAATTATTTTTTGTATTTGGAGTGATGCAAATCAATCGAAGCTTACACTACAGACAAACAGCCCTAACACTCGACATCCTTTTCATCGTTCACTTAGGAATCATCCATAAATTACGTAGCATATTTTTGAGCAATCGTTGACCCCCCCCCCCCCTTTCCTTCCTTTTAGTGTATTTTGCTATACCTAATACATATCCGGTATCGGAGACGAGCCAGCCAAGGGCTGAAAGTCTCCTTAATAAAGATATAAAAAAAAAAAAAAAACATATCCGGTCACAACATCTGAAAGCTCCTCTCCCCCCTCAAATGTTTCGTTATTTTATGATTGATTTTTTATTAGATGGCATTGAGTTATAACTTCTCTGAATGCCCAAGTCGACAGTGAGCATTCATAAGGGCGTATACGCGATGATCGCATTGCTACAGCTAAGCGAAACAATTTTCTAGAATTTGTTCAATGCAGAGTTGTAACAGGTTGTATTGGCTATCAAAAGCAACAGCAAATGCACCGAGAAACGTTAATTCTAGTGAGTTATTAACAAAAGAGAAAATGGACGAAGAGAATCGATCATCGCGTTTACGCCCTTATGCATGCTCACTGTCGAAGTGTATTAGTTCAGAATTTTGGGCCGCGCAGACGTATAAGTGAAAAAACGATCGTATATGAGCACGGTTTCTTTTGCGCGCCTTTTTTTTTGCAGTTTGTGTGTACAAGGACACACACATTTAGAGTACGGTGGGGCAAAAGTTCGTTTTGAGAATTTCGAAGCCCGTACAAAATGAAACTCAATGTTTTGACACTTGTTTGACAGGTCTTTTAGAACCAAAGTTTCGCCCAAAAAACACATAAATTGGTGCTGTTTTCAGAGAGTTACTGGCAAAAGTTTGTTTCGAGATGATAAATTATAGCTTAGAACACGAAAAACTCACTTTTATAACTTTGTTTTAGCTAGTTCATCGCATTCGATAGCAGAAGATCTGGCTTATGGCCTGCCTCAGAGGTTTCAATTAATGTAACGTACAACCAACAATCAATACGAAACTAACGATTTTAAATTGGCTCACTACTTGACTAGGCTATTGGTCCCAAGCAAACGATTAACGTACCACATTCTAGTTGAAATTCTAGTACTACGCAATGTTTGTTTTGATTCGCTATGAAAGTTTGGCAGATAAAATGAGGGGTTATTGGTTTTTCCTATGTTTCGAGGGGTGAATCGATTAGCTTGGGACCGAAGAGAGTACCAGAGCTGAGCCAAAAAGTTGAGCACGTTATTTCGGGACCTTCTAGTCTTAGAGTTACCTCTATGGTACAACTGACTCTGATTACCCTTAGAAAGAGGCAGACAAACTGTTGTGAGGAATGGGTGCGAGAACAAGGTAGAGCTCCCCGGCAGGAGACAGTCCGGCAGAGATACTCCGACGGCAAAAAATAGAAAGGTGAAGAATCAGCGCAGCCAATGACGAGAGGGCTAGATTTGGTTGTACAGGTGGGCGTCCTTCAGGAAAGCGATCAGCGCAGTCAACGTCTAGGAGTCATTACCAAGTAGATTCCTGACGTTCTCCGGGAGCCCCGTAGCCTTTGGAACTTCAACCAGACACACAGCACGTGTTCCACCGAGGCGGGGATGCTGCAATTTTCACAAACCTTGCGGAAAGGTGTCTCACCGAACTTGCATGAAATCCTCGTATGGCCGCTCCGGAGCTCCGTTCGAAGTTTATTCTTGTCCAACACGGGTGCTACTCCTAATGATGGCAGTAGGTCACTGGATTGTTGCGACTATAAGACTGGGTGCGCCGGTCGTTTCGGCGGCCGCGCGTAGTGTGGCGCTGATGCCTTTCATCGGGTGCAGTGTATTCTCCACAAGCCCAGCTGCTATTACCTTGAACAAATTAGAGTGCTCTAAGCAGGCTATCCTACGGCCGAGAATAATCTTGCATGGAATAATGGAATATGACCTCGGTCTTAATATTCATTGGTTTGTAATCCAGATCAAGAGGTAATGATTAACAGAAGTAGTTGGGGGCATTAGTATTACGGCGCGAGAGGTGAAATTCGTAGACCGTCATAAGACTAACTAAAGCGAAAGCATTTGCCATGGATGCTTTCATTAATCAAGAACGAAAGTTAGAGGATCGAAGGCGATTAGATACCGCCCTAGTTCTAACAGTAAACTATGCCAATTAGCAATTGGGAGACGCTACATTATGGTGCTCTCAGTAGCTTCCGGGAAACCAAAATTAGGTTCCGGGGGAAGTATGGTTGCAAAGTTGAAACTTAAAGGAATTGACGGAAGGGCACCACCAGGAGTGGAGCCTGCGGCTTAATTTGACTCAACACGGGAAAACTTACCAGGCCAGGGTCGTACGGTTTCCTTGATCTTCATCAGGAAAGTGGTCCGCGACTGGAACCATAGAAACCTGGCATTCTATGATAGTATTCGCAATCCAACGCCTGACGTCTGGGAGGGGTATGATCCTGGTGTAGCGGGGACCGGATGGACCAGATCCCGTCAGTCTGACCACAGCCTCGTTTCTGGGAACTCGGCAGCATGCTTGGCATACACAGTTTTGGTCACGAACTGCTCATTCGCTAATAACTTTGCACACCGTTGACGGAATATAGTTCTTATTGAAGCAATAGATAGCATAGAGTGTAACCTTGTTATAGATATGTAAAAAAAAGTAGATTTTAATGCTAGTAGTAAACTGTATTTGTTTTTGAGTTGTAAAAATGAGGTGAGAAATGCTCACTACACATCTCGGAATTAAAGTGTTAAATTGATTAGTGTTGATTCAAATGTTAAGCTTTACCTAATCTTCGCATATCTATAGTAAACTATGAGCCTAATCTATCAATTACTTTAAAGAAAAATAAATTTCAACATATGAGTGAAAAGTTATTACCAAATGAGCAGTTGGTGTGTACAACTGTGCATGCCAAGCATGCTCGGCAGTGTCCGGGAATCCTCGTAAAGACGGTTTAAGGTGGGGCATACCGTGTAATGACTTATATCCTGGGGTGATTCGGGGCTTCGGCTTCCAGCGTCTGGATGACTTTTTGTGGGTCCGTTAGCACAAGGATCGGTTGAACTACCGGAGTAATGGCTGCATCGAGAATAGCTACTGCGTTTGCGGAAAATACGGAACACTCCTACGGTAGACTTTGACTTGTTGCAGTGTTCTGTCCTGCCACTCCGAGTACAACTCCAGACCGCAACCGCGATCCGTCCATAAAGCGATGGACGTTCCCCGCATAAACCGACTGGAAAAGCTCTGCAACATAACGCCTCAACGCTGCACAGTGGCGGGCCTCCATACTTTTAGTCGGACAAAACTTAAACTTAAACATATGAACCGATTGATTGAATGTTTGTTAAGCTATTTTAATTCATAGAACTTTTCAGTTTAATTTGGGTGCACAATTCATTATCCAGGACATCACAAACATAATCAGTTTTGTTTCGTTAAGACTCATACTTATTATTTTTTAGATGTTTTACTCGGGCATTGAGTATAAACAAGCAGAACCAGCTTAAAAAAACGGATTAAGGCAGCATCTTTCAAAAAATTCAAACGTAGTTTGTGAACAATCCCTGATCAAAAAGTTCTGAATTGTTTAATTTATAGTGTAGATGATAATTATGTGGTAAGGATAATGACTCTTAGTTACACAATATAAACAAATACCATTGTTAGTAATTGAAATACAATTAGTTCCATCTAAACCACCTTAAGCGAATCCAAAAAGATACCGTCCATGAAAAACGATTCATTAAAAACAATACACCAAACAATCCTTACTAACTCTACTTAGCTACTTAATTAATGCAACTCCTTCAAACCCCGTGAACATAATTACTGTTTATGTTTTATATACTAATCACCATGCTCCTCCATATTGGTATTTTTTTAATACATGCGTAACTAAGGTTTTCTGCCTAAAAATAGATTTACTCTCATTTCGTCTGTTCTTGGTCGATTTAGATGAAGCTGCTTTCAATCGATCAGGAGTCATGTTTTTATTTAAGAATGGTAGAGCATAATTCTTGCTGAAAGCTA